GAAATTGTTCCACAAGGTGCTGTGTTCTTAACATATTTTATGTATTTAATAAATGTAGGAGATCATTAAAAGATTGTAAGAATCATTAAAACCTTCATGCACTGCAAGAAAACCACAAGCTCATTATTAGTTTTCAGTACTTACTACCAGAGCCATACCCAGAGCAAGCAACATGACTCAAAGAGCAAGAGATCAGCAACAATTAAAATCACTATTTTTAGTGCAACTCAGTTCCTGCAGTAAGAAGATTTGGAAATAAGCAGAACCTGAACAGCCAGAGCATCTGTAAGCTGAATAAAGTCTTGTTTGTGACATCATGTAATAGGTTTGCGTCACTCTTCTTTCTCCCTTTCTGGGGAAAACACAGAAGAAATAAAGACAAATAATTTTATTCAGAGCATGACCAAAAATTCACCTGATGACTTATGTTTTCTCACGATTTTTATTTTGACTGGCCAAAGATACACAAATGCTATCAACAAGGGGATCGGTAACTTAGATGAAATCTTGCCTCTAAAGACATTACTACTGTTAAAGGATGAAATTTCATTGTTTTAGCTGCAGACCATAAACATTTTATAATTTAATAAATAGTAAGTATATTGCCATTTAAAAAGAAGGCAGAAGTCATCTGTTACATCAGAGCTATATGCCATCAGAAATTGTTCCACAAGGTGCTGTGTTCTTAACATATTTTATGTATTTAATAAATGTAGGAGATCATTAAAAGATTGTAAGAATCATTAAAACCTTCATGCACTGCAAGAAAACCCCAAGCTCATTATTAGGTTTCAGTACTTACTACCAGAGCCATACCCAGAGCAAGCAACATGGCTCAAAGAGCAAGAGATCAGCAACAATTAAAATCACTATTTTTAGGGCAACTCAGTTCCTGCAGTAAGAAGATTTGGAAATAAGCAGAACCTGAACAGCCAGAAAATCTGTAAGCTGAATAAAGCCTTGTTTGTGACATCATGTAATAGGTTTGCGTCCCTCTTCTTTCTCCCTTTCGGGGGAAAACACAGAAGAAATAAAGAAAAATAATTTTTTTCAGAAATGATGAATGAAGTATCAGTCTCAGCTGAAAATAGCTAAAAGCCAGACAGCACCAAGGGAAAAAAGCAAAACCCAAACTGAAAACTGGGGACGACTTGGTCCAAGAAACAAGAGCTATGGAAAGGGTAACCATTTAATTGGTCTGCAATTAAGTAGGACGCAGGGGAGTCAGTTGGCTTCTTTAAACTTAGTGAGTTATAATATAATTTTCATGGAGACCACACAGAATGGAAGCAAGAGAATAACTACTTTTGTAAAAACCCTTAAGACTTTCATTAAATTGCATTGGTTTCTATGGCAGTCAGAGTTAAAGAAATCTGTTTCTTTCAGCTCTCCTGTTGGTGGAAATATCCACCAACAAAAAATCATAACGCAATGACACATTAAAATTTACTCAGAGGATAGACTAACTATGAAATTAACTATTCTGTTTAACTGAATATGTGGGGGGGCTGTGGGGGAGAATAAAAAAACCCAAAATCATACCATGCAGAAATTATATGACACCATAAGCATTAGCAAATTAAAGATGTTATGGAAATGAAAAATGTGTATTAGAGCATTAAAACAGAGAACATAATATTAAGTACTGGCCAAAAAAGCATTAGACATCTTTTGAAATAGTATAAAGCTCTCAGAAGATTCAGTCAAAACCACACAAAGTCCCTGAAAAATTTCCAAGCAGGCACAGTTTGCAGTCTAACAAAATTCAGAGAATATTTTCGACTTCCATTTTCATATATTAGTAGTTCATCATCCTTGGTTTTGAGGTAAAATATGTTTTTTACCAACTACAGCTTTTAATAAGACACCACTTTTATTAAGACACCAGTTTTAGCAGGACTTTAAGAATCTTCAGTAAAGCATATGAGCAGGTGAAATAGCTCTTGAGTTCTACATCACAGAAGACATTTAGTGGCTCCAAACATAAATTGTCAGTTTTCACATCACAAGTCCAGTGGTTACAGTCAGCATTGACCATTGCAGAACAACAGCTTTTCACTAGATTCAATTCCACAGCTGGCAGAAAATGCAGAGTAGTTTTGCAACAGAGGGAAATGTTCTTTCACTTACTACCTAGCAGTGTCATTTTGCTAAACTTCTGCAGTTCAGGGAGCAGACTGCAGTCTGATTTTCTAACCCAAGTCTGTATTTGTGGAATTTTGCTGTTCCCACACAACTGGCAGTTTTGTACAGACTAAAGAGAGACAAACGGTTTGTGCCAAAGATCAAACCCTTATCAAATTATAAAATACAGGGGTCATGGTAAGACTTAAAGCCAATCTCTACCACCTCAATTAAGGTGAAAAATCCTCCTGTGCCTCCTGGGCAGAGTTCCTACGTGCTGGCAGAAACTGTCTCTGGCTCTTGACCACTCTATGACAGCTTGCATGTGTGACACCATATCTGGTTCTTCCTCAGTCTGAATTGTATCATTTCAGGCATCTAGGAAATAAATAAGCCACAAAAGCAGGAATTAAACTGCTAGACTTAAAAATCCAGAACTGAACCTCACCACTTAGCTTCTCTGGAAGTGACATTGTCTGAAGGTGAACTCGTGGTGTCCTAAATGCAGTTTTTTAAGTCTATAAACTGTGGAGAATTAAGAACACAGTTAAGCAGATATACTTTTACTTGATAAGCCTCAAAGATTAGTCTCTTCTGTATCACAAAACCATCATGGCCTCTAGCAGAGACATGCTTTACTTTATTTGTCAACATACTAAAATACTGATTTTTTTAACCACTCATACTACCACGCGAACAATTACCACAACGGCAATTTGACATCAGCTTTAGAAAAGAGAATTGTACTGCTAGTCCTCTAAGCCTGACTATTGTAGAGAAATAAATAAATAAATAAATATCAGAATATCCCCTGTCAGAGTTTTCAGAACACCAGCAAAAAAATGTTATGTTTGTGTAGATTGAGCTACATTCTCCTAAGATTACAAACTCTGTTTCTCTTCAAAACAATTCCACACAATTCTAAGGGAGATAAATGAAGGTACTGTGATTTTTTAAGTAGATCAAATATCCAAGGTTGCCTGCCTAATAGAACACTTGCTATGTTAAAGGCTGCTAAGTCTTCCACAAATTGCACAGAATTTTTGCATTAAAATGTAGCCCTGAGAACTAAGAAATTAGTTTTTCATAACATCCTTCTTTTCATTATTGCAACTTACACCAAAATAGCATAATGAACAGGAAAAAAAAAAATTGCGTTTCATAAGAGAATCAAAATGTTTTCTGTCACATCCACATAATTCTGAGGTTTTAAAACTTCTTTAAATTACTCTGTTGCATACAAAATACGTGAGATTTTGTTTGCACAGCAAGACCCAGCTACTGGGGATTTGGAAGTCAGCAGATCTGTTTGTGGCAGCTCACCATTACTCTGGAGCCTAGCAATCACATGCCCTGACTATCATGGATATCCTTTAGAAAGAAAACATTCCAGAAAAAAGAATTTTCTTCCAGAGGCCACTCTGAATTTGGCAGGAATAATGATGGTTTGTTTTGTTCTGAGCCAGTTAGCTGGTGGGAAGAGAAATCCTCATGAAAGCATGGTAGTTATAAATTAGACAATTAGGACTGATCCTAGGAAGCTGGGTTTTGAAGCATTCAGCAGTTGACTCTCCATTCACCAGCTCCCGAGGCATGGACACTGCAAAATGAGAGACAGGAGGAGAACTGGGACAGAGAGGTTGGAAATTTCAGGGTTGTTACCCCAAGCAGAAAATGCTGGACAGCTTTTAGCCTTGAACCCTGGTGCTGAGAGCACAACCTCTTGCTTAATAACGCCATTATTCCCTGTTGCTTTTGGGGATTAAACGTCTGTTGCTGACAAGGATTTTAGAGACATTTCCCCCTGACTTCAATCTCTCTGGTGCATGTGGGGACAGGAGCTGCTAAAAACCATGCCCTGCCTGCTAGCCTGTTGTCATCACTGTCACAGGTGCTGGTATGGGAAAAGATGCCTTTGGGTTTGATCTCATCAGCCAGATTTTCAGCTGCAAAAAGGCAGCTTAAACATCACTGACAGCTGCTGAAATTCAAGACGCAGGTTTTTTTAAGGTGTAAGAAAATGGTATAAGTTTTTTGTTAGAAAAGAATTCATCTCTCTCTGACTTGACATACGTATCTCCTGTGGGATAAAAGCATAGCTCTAAAGACATGAGTTTTTCCAATACATGATCTTCTGCTTTCTTGCCTTCCTTGTCCAGGGCCCCACACAGCTGATTTTACTTTGGGTTTAACCAGGTGCATTTTCATCCCTTTCCTTAGTCTTGTAGTTATGCTTCGAGCATCTCTGGGGAATAAGAGGCTCCAATTTGTTCTCCAAAATGTTTCACCTGCTCCTGCACATCTACAGGTGAGCCTGCTTTGGGGTGATGCCTGAACTCCTTACACCAAGACCAGGTGGAAGGAAACCAGGTCCATCAGGAGCTTGGTGCACCAAAAGCCAGTCTCCAGCAGTGCCTGAATCAGGTCCCTGAGGACCAGCTCTACTGATTCCAAAGGGCTGGGATGAGGGGCTCAAAGCCCACCACAGGGCCTGGGGACACCGGAGAATCCCTCTGAGCAAATCTGCTTGGAGCTGCCAGGATTGAGCCTTGCAGGTGACACAGGGACTGAGAGCACCTGGAGTACAGCCCAGGGAAACACTGCAACTGCAATCTTCCTCTGCAGTAAGAAGGACAACTTCTGCCTCTCCCCAGCTGCCATCAGCATGACATCAGCGCTGCCGCTCTCTACCTGAGCAGAAAAATAATGAAAAACTTTCCTGAACAAAGGATCCCTTGCAAAGGTGTGCAAGACCATTCTGATGACTCATTTGGTCTCCAGGCCTCTAAATATACTGGGAGCTGTCTGTGCCAGGGCTGCAGGAAGGACACTGACCTCCTGCCACAATTACAGGAACTGCTGAATGGTAGAATTACCCCAACATCTTCAGCAAACTCCTGTAAATTCTTGACCATGGTTCTATCTGGGTCAATCCCTATTCAATGTCACGACAAACCATCTGAGTCCACCAATAATCCCTGCCCCCCCACAGCTTTCAGCAGGGCAACAGGGTGAAGCTGACCTGATGTTCTTTGTTCACAACTGGGCCACACGCTCTGGTCAGACTCATGAGTTGGTATTTCTTACCCAGCAGGGCCTGAGGTGGACAAGAGAGCAAACCAGAAAAGCCAGAGATACAGAAAGGGAAAGAAAGACCTCAAACTGACATTTTAAATAAGCACTCATTCAATAAGAAAATGGATTACACACCCACAGCTCCACATTTCTGTAGGAGGGAAGAAGGAAAAAAAACGAGTTCAAAGAGCTGGAGGGATTATGCTCACCCAGCCCATCATCAGGCTCAGAGCTCCATCTCGTGGGTGCTAGCCACCAGCAGCGGCCACTGGCCAAGGAGGCTCTTGCTGCTGGGCTTCAGCTTCTCCCTGCTGGCTCCCGGCAGTCTCCGCCTCTTCCCAAGGTCTTCCTTGCAGCTGTGGCAAAAGCGGAGGCTCTGGAATTGGTTCCAAGGCCTGGCAGAGCTGCAGTCCCGGAGCCCTCTGTGCTCCCTGCTGGCCCCTCCATCCCCTCAGCCCCACCATGCTCTCGGCAAAGCCCCAGCCCCCTTCAGCTTCTTCAGCCCCTCACAGTCCTCTCGCCCCCCTCGGTCTCTTCTGACCCATCCCGTCCCCTTAGACCCGCCACCCCCTCAGCCTGTGCCACTTGCCTGTCACCTCAGTGCCACCATGGCCCTCAGCTGTCCCACAGCCCTCAGCCCCAGCAGCACCTCAGGGTCACCGTCCCTTCAGCGCCACCGCCCCCTCAGCCCCCTCAGTCTCACCGTCCTTCAGCAGCTCCTCAGGGGACAGTGCCTGGGGCCACCGGCAGCTCTCACCGCTCCAGGGACACCCGGGGCTGGAACTGCTGCTCCGCCCAGCCCGGCCGCCAGCTGGGACCCAGCACAGGGAGAGGGGACAGAGGGGGCACAGGGGGAAAAGCAAGAGGTGAAAATGGCAGCCGAGGGGGGAAAGAGATCAAAATGCAGCCTAGACCTACACAAGCAGCAATCTATGTATCTAAATATCCATATTCATCTTACTATACAACTATGCACATCTATAAATATATCATGCTTATGTGATAAATAGGGGTGATTCGTGCTGATAAAATTGAAACACTAATCAATATTTGGCGAGAGCAAAACGGTTAAAAAGGTAAAAAGCTAGGAAAGCGGAGGGGAAGGGTCCGCCCCCCCATTATTGTCTGCAGATGTTCACGGCAGGAAAGGAGTCAGATAAAGCTTGCTAAAATTAACTGAAAGAGGGAAAACTTGGGTGGAAATCAGAAATATGTTAATTTACGAGATTTATTATATTGGCTCATATAATTTTGGTTTTGGCATATATGATAGTAGCTTGGTGCGCATGTGTAACCCAAAGGTGAAATAAAGGACACCTGAGGAAGAGGAGCGGCCTTCATCTGGACGACCCCCGAAGAATGGTGCGACCCCCAAAAAGATGGTGGCGCATGCGCGGTGAAAATCAAGATGAGGGCGGAGGCACCAGTGTGATGAATCGGAAATAGGAGGGAATGCTGATAATAGCCAGTATAAAGGGGGGAATTTTGGGCTTGGCAAGCTTGTACGTGAGGTGGCAGGGGTCCCAAGGCCCTCGTGCTCCGTACCCCGCGGTAATTTTGCTTATACGTCATTCCCCGAACCAGACTATATTTTATTATAACCAAATTATACTGCCCATTTATTGAATGTAACTATTTCATTTAAATTTTATTAAAATTAATGTTACATTTAATTTTGTTTGACCTTTTATTTGTGATTAGATAATTGGGCAAACATAACACCTATAACTATATATATATACATTTAACTGTACAGATTTTAAAATACAGCTATAAAGACATTAATTACTATATGGCTATATAAGTAGAACTACAGACATCTCTAAACATATCAATAAACAGAGGGATTCCACCTGCCTGATGGTCAAAGGCTCTCCCTCTGATCCTTCTTCTCAGTGCAGGGCAGCACTCCTGGCGAGGCAGATCTGGTGGAAATCTGGGAAGCAAAGGGAACACTGGGTCAATATTGGCCTTTGTGCATCTTTCCATTTTGAAGTAATTGGCAACCTACCAAAGACTGTAAAAGATGGCCTGAAAGGCAGACTCTCACTTGGCAATTTGAAGCCTGCTCTTTAAAGAACAGGGATCCTTTCAAGCATTCAAAACTCTGTAAAGTATTGAAATACTTCGGTAAAGCCTCAGCACTAGCAAAGGGCACCCATGAGAGCTTGAAACACAGACAATCCCAGCTGCCACAAATCAGCCCAGCCTTGTTCTTTCTCTGTGCTGATAGAGACCTCAGTCCTCACTGAAGTGGCTGAAGCTGAAGGCTGCTGGGAGCTGAGTTATGAACCAAATTGGGACACCCATCTTGGTGACACAAGTCCCACAAGGTCAGCTTTATTCCCTGTTCTCTTGCCACAGCAGAGGACTCAGTGTCAGAGCCTCTGGAGAAGCGTGGAGGGCAGTGCTCAGCGAGGTTGTGCCAGTGCAGGATTTGAACTAAAGGCACCAGGAAGCACCAGCCCTGCAGACAGGAGCTCAACTCTGCTCATCTCCCTTGCTGCCAGAGGCAGGCTCAGAGCAGCCATCTCACACCTCTCTAAACCAGTGGGGGCTCTGTCCTTACCAAGCTCCTTGGGCTCCTGGGAATTGTTCCCACAGCTCTCTGTGCCAGGCAAAGCTCCCTCTGCTGCAGCTCTGTCCACAGGCTTGCCTCCTGAAGACTCAGGGGCAACATCAGTATTCCCCTTGAAAGAGAAACAGAAAGGAAGAAACCCTTCTCACCAGTTACACAAAACACCTGGTCCAACAACTCCATGGCTCTCGCTCTTAATCCCCTGTCCCTAACAAGAACTCTGGGCTCCAAAGCCTTTCAAGAGTCAAAACAATTTCACTTGTCAAACACAGTCCAAAGGCTGTCAAAGCTGACGGTGTTGAACATGGGGGTGACACTGAACACATGGAATGGCTGCTAAGGAAGGAGTCCTGCCAGCTCCTGGCACAGGGATGTGCTCCTCCCTCCACAGCCCTGAGCACAGCAGTCTCATCCAGGCTGCAGCTTGGCAGGGACTGCATGGAACACACATCTCTTCCCACCGAGCTGCCCAAGAGCAAGGTGACTGAGCTCTGCAACATGGACAGCAAGACTGGCCAGTTCGCCCAGCTGAGCATTTCCCAGATGGAGACTGGGCTGCAGGCACCAGGTTACTGAGAGGACAAAAAAGCTGCAGCTCCAGCCCAGCCCCATACACGGCTCTGGGAGCGCCCACACGCACGGCAGGGCTCACACAGCAGCAGCAGCTGCAGCCCAGCCCTTGCTCTGCCTTGGCCTTCCCACCCAAAAGAAGCACATCTGCTGCTGGAACAGGCACCTCTCACATGCCCCTCCCTGCACGGGACACTTGGCCTTCAGTGGCAAATCTCCAAACACTCTTCTCTTCTTTCCCACCAAACAAAGCCTCTTAGAACCTACAAAGCTTCCACTTCCTCACCACAAATGCCCCTGCACAAGAGATTCTTCCCAGTAGAAGGAACACCCAAACCTGTCAAACACCTTTCACCCTCATTTAAGGACTATCCCCCTTTTTCATTCCCTCTTCTTCTGGAAATCTTTTTTCACTAAGCAAACCTCCCCTGTCCATTCACAGCTGAACTCAAGAAGCCTTTGCTTCTCAGCCATGCAACAACATTCAAAAGCTCTCAGTCCACTCCTCTCATCCCTGTCCAATGCAGTTACTTGAGCAGAGGGAGACTTTTCAGGCAGGGATCTCCTGCTCTCCCGAATAATTTCCTCAACAGCAAGGCCCAGATCCACTGGTGGTGATTCCTCTTCCTCAGGTGCATTCTGTGCTGAGCTGGAGGCCATTGATGCTGCACAACCTGCACTGCCAGCTGGAGAACTGGGGGCTGAAGTGTCTGGGGGGGCTGCAAGAATCCAAACACATTGGTCAGGCTCCACAATGTGGCTTTGGGAGACAGAGTCTAGTGCTGCCTTGCATCAAACACCACAGGAAACACACAGAAAACTCTATTCCAGAAATGTATTCAACTTCTTCTTCTTCAAAAGTATTTCATCTAATTGATGTGTACATATATTAAAGTATGGGTTGTAAAATTGATCTACACACACACACACACTAATTGATCTACACACACTACTGCCTCACCTGATCTCCAGCTGCACATCTCTTCCTCATGGTCATTATTTCTCAGTGTTTGACCTGGTGTGCCCTCTCACAAGGACTCTATTGCTCCCAGTCTGTACAGCTTTTAACTGCTTTTTCTAGGAATTCTGAATGTGCTCAACAATCCGTCTGGCTGTTTCCACAGTAGATCCTAAGGAGCTCAGCGAAAGCTCAGCCCTTTGGCAGCTGCTTTGGAAACTGAAGGCATTTTCTGCTGAGATGATGATGACTCCTCATTTCAGTTTATGATGGCTCATGACTCTCCAGCCCAGGCCCTCAGTCCTCAAAACCTACTAAGCTTCTGATTGAACAAAGGGCTGCAGTCACTTTGTTGAGGATTTTATTTAGGAGTCTCTGAGGAAGTAAAGAAGGAACAAGGCAGAGCTGGAAAAAGGCAGCTATGTGTGTTGGATTTGGCACAGCTTGGTTTTTGGTAGTGGGGGAGGGCCATGCGGGCAGCTCCTGCGGAAGGCTGCTAGAAGCTTCCATCATGTCCAACAGAGCCGGCCTCTGATGGCTCTGAAGAGGGACATGCTACTGGACAAATGAGAGAGGCTGTAATGCCTCTGTGATGACATATTTAAGAGCAAAATCAAAAGAGCCGATGTGCAGTTTCTTCCCAGGGGTGGCAAGACACTGTTGCCAGGGCCATCCAGGTGCAGCAGGTGGCGATGCACTGCCATAGCTGCTGCCATGCCGGCACCTGCGGTGAA